AAACAAACAAACAGCATCTCTTGTGTAGCAGTATTGGTACAGATAATCAAACTTACTGAGGTTTTATGTGGACCAATAGGAGAGAGTTGACAGTGAGTACTCCACACTACACTATATAGCCTCCCCAGTGTAGGCATAACTCTTTTCTTCTATTTCCTCTCCCATTTGGAACCACTTGGGCATGATCCCTACCAGTCTATTTTGTACCCTTTGGGGATCAGATTATAAGAAGCCTGTGAGAACTTGTCATAAGCACAGTTGTGCTCAATGATCTACAGGCTGTTTGGCAAGGCCCCAGCTGCAGAAAAGAGCAAGAAAGCAAAATGCTCCACAGCTGCTTTCCTAAGTTGTTTATGTTCAAAGAAATAGATGGCAGGTTTCTCTTGTTACAATGTCATGCCACTCCCCAGAACTGTTGCTCCACATCCTTGTTTACCACTGGATATAAATGACTCGCTGAAGGAGGACAGAGGTTTTGACAGGGGATTTTGATTGGCTGTTGCTGATGCTGGCTGTTGTGTGTCTCCACCAGAGCAGCTTTCTGCATCAAGAACATATAAAGTTCTAGACTTTAGAAAAGCTAAGCTAGAGAAAAGCTAAAGAGAACATGGGACAGTGCAAATCTAAGGACCAAGACTTTTAAGAGTTATGCTAATGCAGTTTGTAACAGCTGCTGTTGTTTGTCTGCAAATCTGAGCACCGAGATTTTAAGAAAGCTAAAGAGAAAACATGGGACAGTGAGAGTCTAAAGAAGGAGACTTTAAAGAATAGAAAAGAATCAAGGTTTTAAAGAAAGACTTTAGAAGTAAGGCCTTAAAGGATAGAGAAGAAAAGAGAAGTAAAAGAAGAGAATAATAGAGAAAAGAAGTAATGAGCCTGCTGTGCATCTCCATCTGAGTACTTAGCACACCTGGCCCTAGCTTTATGCATGTTTGTCTATCTTTTGTCCTTTCTGCATCTTCAGTCCCCCCCAGTTAGGTCAGGAGAGCCAGGAGCTCAAGAAAGCTTGCTCTACTCTTCCAAACACAGTGCCTTTTACTCATCTCATCTTTCCCATCCTGAGAGCTACGCTGGGCTGACCCACATTCATATCTTCATTCATTTGAGAAATCAGCACAATATAAATGCTTTTAATTAACCCTCTACCTTCTCAGAAGCAATTTAGTAGTGATTTTGACTTCATTTCATTTTTATTTCTTCTTTTCCTTCACAATTTCATCCCTGTCTCAAGAGGCTTATCAAGAAGCTCTCTAAAGAAATCTCTTTCCTTAGACCAATTAGGGATTCTTATTACAGCCACTAAAAGGAGTTGCATTTTCCAGGTCTTCAGAAAAATAATAAAATGCCTTAAAGAAATTAAAAATAGTACTGTAGAAAAGTATTTATGAAATAGAGTCATATTTGAGATATCATACTGACTAGAAAATTCAAGGTACATTATGAAGGAAAAATAATTTGTCAAGCAAGTTCCTGTATTGTATGTTATATAAATGTGTGCATGGAGCACAACTGGAAGATGAGACCTCAGTCTTCAGTCATGTTCGAGATGGGACTGCATATTCAGACAGGCCTGAGTTATAGTCTTGTCCTTCCAGTGATGAAGGGTATGATCTTGGCTAAATTGCTTAACCCTTCTAAACTGTACTGTCTTTTGTCTGTAAAACAAGAATGACAATGTCTACCCATGGGATCATCAAAGGATTAGAATTTAGATAAAGAAATGGGTTGAGTCCAGGCCTGGCCCAGTGAAGGCACTGTGGTTGGCTATTGTAGTTGTGCCTGTGTTGTTGATGGTCCCTTGGTCAGTGCATGGTGGTCATTGGTTATATGCATTTTTCTCTGAATTAGCCAGCTGTGTTTGGTACTGGGAAACATATTCATGCATAATAACTGAGAAGAGCACATGTAATGCAAAACACAAGACAATGCAAGTAAATACTGATGGGCTATGAAGAGAAGTTGGTGCTTGGTGTAGCAATTGAGGGTGGTCCCTTGGTCACCTTTGAAGGAGAGTGGACGGAGAAGAGCTATAGGCAGTGGCAGTGGCATCTGGGAGTGCATGTGGAAAGGGATATGGGATGAAGATATTTTTCTATGGAATGTGGGGACTCTACTTGTCTGAACTCTGGGATTGGGATAAAGAATAAGGATGTCTCTGATCTTACTAGGCTCACTGGCTGACCTGGACCCTGTATCTCTTTTTTTCTTTACTCACCTTGGTTTTCTACCCTTTTGCTGTTGGATTATATGGGTAGCCACAAAGTCTGTCTCCAGTCCCTTGAAATACGTTGAATGGATATAGCACAATACAATCACAGGGCAGAGTGATGCTACCCTGCAGGGATTTGTTCATACCCTTGGCACGGAAAACAGCAGGTAGTGAGTGACGACTGATAACCCAGATGCTATTCATTATTGGCTAGAAGAATGCCGCTGTGACATTTGATACCATTCCCAAACCAATGATTCCAAATTGGGACGAGCCTGACTTCTCCAGCTTAGGGTTTATAAGGGCAGAAGACAGTGTTCCAGGAATCAACACTGGAACCAGAGATCACAGTGATCCCTGGGTCAAATAGGTGGTCCTCACCTCCAGCTTACAAGGCTTACTGACATGGACGGGGAAGAAGAATAACATCTGGCTGCCTGCTTTGCTTTTTTTTCTAATAGAAACATGTCTTCTAGGGCTTTCCTGAATTTCTGAGCATTTTCTCTGAGATGCCCCAATAGCAGCCTGCTATCTCCCAGGAGGGCTTCTGCTAATAAGATTTCTGGAGGGCCAGGCAGACATTGGCTTAGGAAACTTGCAAACCCTGGTAATGCCAACACCTTCTCTGAAGGCTGAGAAGACTGATTTCAGAGTATCTAAAGTACTGACTTGAAAAGAGATTGTTGGAACTCAATACTTTGAGTATTCTTTGGTGGAAAAAAACAGACCTATTTAAGTCTAGAGCCCAGTGCTCTAGTTCTTTAGGGAGCTCAGTGGGAGCCACCTGTATTTGTCTTGAGACTGGTGCCAAATTCCATAAACAGTTCAAGGGATATCCTGAAGCCCTCCAGTCGGTGGGTGTCATTCTGTCCTCTAGCACACTACCACCAGAACCTTCTCATTTTGGGCTACCTACATGTCTTCCAGATATGGCTTATTCTGACAACCTATAATTTTTGTCTTAAGTGCCAGCAGTTTTCTGTGCTCCTTGATTTACCCCAAACTGCAAAAGTAGCTGTGCTGTGTAATATGGGAGAAGCATCCAAACAACAACTTAAAAATGAAAAAATGCTCACCATCTCTAGCAATAAAGGAAATGCAAATTAAAACCACGCTAAGATTCCACCTCACCCCTGTTAGAATAGCCATCATCAGCAAAACCACCAACAACAGGTGTTGGCGAGGGTGCGGGGAAAAAGGAACTCTCTTACACTGTTGGTGGGAATGTAAACTAGTACAACCACTCTGGAAAAAAATTTGGAGGCTACTTAAAAAGCTAGACATCAAATCTACCATTTGATCCAGCAATACCACTCTTGGGGATACACCCAAAAGACTGTGACACAGGTTACTCCAGAGGCACCTGCACACCCATGTTTATTGCGGCACTATTCACAATAGCCAAGTTATGGAAACAGCCAAGATGCCCCACCACTTACGAATGGATTAAGAAAATGTGGTATCTATACACAATGGAATTTTATGCAGCCATGAAGAAGAACGAATGTTATCATTCGCTGGTAAATGGATGGAATTGGAGAACATCATTCTGAGTGAGGTTAGCCTGGCCCAAAAGACCAAAAATCGTATGTTCTCCCTCATATGTGGACATTAGATCAAGGGCAAACACAACAATGGGATTGGACTATGAGCACATGATAAAAGCGAGAGCACACAAGGGAGTGGTGAGGATAGGAAAGACACCTAAAAAATTAGCTAGCATTTGTTGCCCTTAACACAGAGAAACTAAAGCAGATACCTTAAAAGCAACCTAGGCCAATAGGAAAAGGGGAACAGGTACTAGAGAAAAGGTTAGATCAAAAAGAATTAACCTAGAAGGTAAAATACACACACAGGAAATCAATGTGAGTCAATGCCCTGTATAGCTATCCTTATCTCAACCAGCAAAAACCCTTGTTCCTTCCTATTATTGCTTATACTCTCTCTACAACAAAATTAGAAATAAGGGCAAAATAGTTTCTGCTGTGTATTGAGGGGATGGGGGGGAGAAGGAGAGGGCGGAGTGGGTGGTAAGGGAGGGGGTGGGGGCAGGGGAGAGAAATGACCCAAGCCTTGTATGCACATATGAATAATAAAAGAAAAAAAAATCTAATGATAGTTATTCCTGCCCTTAATGATCCATCACCTGTACCTACTCTTCCAAAGTAGCTGGTGGTGACCTTCCCTTCTATTCACTGTCTTTGATGCTGAGCCCTGAAGACTTTTCTTGTCCTATTTTTATTTCCAAAATGATTTGGTTCCCCTTGTCTCACTCCTAAGCCATTCTCTGAAGATTGGCTCAGGCAGTAAGTATTTTAAACTTTGCTGGACAAATGATCTCTCTCTCTTTCAAGTACTCAATTCTGCTATTGCATCCCCAACGTAGCCAGAGACAGTATGTAAACAAGGACATAGCTCTGTTCCAATAAAACTTTATTTAAACACAAAATAGGCAGCAAGCCAGATTTGGTTAGTGGGACATAGTTTGCCAGCTCCAAGACTAGAGCAATAAATTCTATTTCATTTTTATAAAATGATATCATTTGTGCTGGCATTGTGACACACAGTTTAGAAAAAAACCCCTGCTTTGGAGAAGTGATAGAAGAGAGGCTCCATGAGGCTTTCTTGGGTGTAGTGAGCATTTCCAAGAAGAGAGCAAGGCTGGCTGCCTGTTTAGCACTAGGAACATCCAGCAAGGTGTCTTGGGGTTAAACAGGGCTGTATCAGAGCTCCTTCTTGTCTACTCAGGTCCTGCACATCTTCTTGTTGGGTTATTTCATCAACATTGAAAATGTCTGTTTGGGAGAAGAGCTCAGAAGTGAAAGTAGACTCCAAAGATTGGGAAAAGAATGAACTCCAGTGCTGCTCAGAAGGTAAAAACTGGAAAAGTCCACATCAAGGCCCAAAGCACAATTTTGAAAGCAGGAGTTTGCTGGGTCTGTGCCTGAACCCAGTTCCTCTCCAGGGGCCTTGCATGATTAGCAAGCTTTAGAACTTGCCTGGAGGAGGAATTAGACAGAAGAGGTCAAGAAAGGAAAAGGAAGCTTTGCTACAGGAGCCCATGTGCATCAGGCAGAAGATAAATTCATATCTAAAGATTCGGGGGCTGGGATGTAGCTCGGTGGTACAGCGCTTGCCTAGCACGCGTGAGGCCCTGGGTTCGATCCCAGCACCAAAAAAGAAAAGACAAAAAAAAAATAAATAAAAAATAAAGATTCGGGACTTTGAACCTACTCACCAAGTGGATGGTTTTATATCCTTCTAATGCACCTCTTCCCTCCCATCCCACCCAGGCAGATGACAGGGGCTGTGGAAGAGAAACTTTCAGAGGCTGGGTTGGAAAAATGACCCCTGCTCAGGGTTTTAGAGAAATCTGTGAAGGAAGGCACTTGGAGGTGGGCTCAAGGGTGACCCAAGAGGAGGCTTTTGGGTCACATGACCATTGAATGCATGGAGTGTGATGGGAGAGGCCTATACACTACCACAGGCTAAAGCCATGCTATTTCATCTCTTGCAACATTTATATTAAGGGAAGCTGTTCTTAATGTCATTACTGTCTCTGCTCTGTATTTCTCAACACATATACACACACATAAGAGAAGTAAAGAATTAATGACCCCTTATCCCCATAAATCCCTGGAAAATCCTAAGTATGTGTGGGATCACTTCATTTTCTCTGAGTATAGATTCACCTGGATATCTCCTGGAGCCAGGCCTGAGCCAGCCCTCAGTGATTTCTACTTACTCAAGTAAGGTCCCTGGGTGAAATGATGGGGTGGCCAAGGGATGAGGGTTGTAGAGATGGTGCTGCTGGGCTTTCTTAGAAGGTGGGAGAATCATAGACTGGGGTCACCTAAGGATGCTGGAGGGAGTTGAGATTTTTCCTTTGGGGAGGAGAATTCCATCAGGAGAATTTAAAAGAAACACAAAAGATTGAAAACACTGCCCTACAGAAAATTATTACCTGTTCTTCAAAATCACTCACACTCAACATTGGCCTTGAGAAGGAAGTTGTGGTCAGAGATGCTGAGTGAGAACACCAGTGATGAGACCGTGCACTAACCTGTGATGATGAGGGCCCAAGTCAGGGCATTTTAGGAGGGAAACAGAGAAGGGGCAGGTTTAAGAAATGTTTAATATTAATAGGCAGAAAAGCACAATGGTATTGTTCCAGGTGAACTTCTGGTTAATACCGTGTCTGGTCTCACCCTGGACCAATTGAATAGAACCTCAAGATGCGGGGCCCAGTCATGCATGGTCCTTAAAAGACGCCTGCCTCAGGGTGCCCAGTGGACAGTCAAGGTTGAGAACCATTGCCTTAGGCTGTGGTACTCAAAGGGCTGTCCTCAGGGCAGCAGCATGGATGGTGCCTGGAGCTGATCGGGACAGTGAGACTTAGGACTGGCCAGATCTAGTAAGCCATATCTGCAGGTGATTCAGTGCATAGCACAGGGTGAGAAATTTTGAAAGGCTTAGAGTTAATCTAGCTCAACACCTCCCAATCAACCTGTACCTGCTCCCAAGAACTCAGGATATCTGGAGGTAGGACCCAGAAAAGCTCCTGAGGAGATTCTGGGATAATTGAGGGTGAGAACCACAGATCTCCTCTGACTTCATATGATTGTAGAGTGAATTATGATCTCACCTGAAGCCAGTTATACATTCCCACGGAGGGTGGGATGTGTAGAATACCATGGTGGGGAGGTGACAGTGGAAGATCAAAGGTGAGTTAGGCAGGAAACCTGCCCCCAGGGAACTTGCAGTGCTGAAGGGAGAAGAGATGGGAACACTGACACCGTGAGCAGGTTCAAGTGACCAGTGAAGAACACTGTCCTGAGCAGACGGGGCTGAGAAGGGCCAGAAGGTGGAGGAGGCAGGAGAACTGAAGTCATCTGGGGCTTTCCCCCATCCTCTGGGCAGGAACAGACCAGGTGGGCAGTCCACTGAGAAACCAGGCAGAGGCCTTGTGTTCCTGCATGGGAGGAGAATGAGGCCTTTGAATGACGCTCTGCATTGCAATTGCCTATCATAGAAACTTTCATCACAGCATCATGCAGTGTGGTGGACTCTGTATTATCGTATTTGACATTTTATAGCCACCCATCCTTGGAAGTCTTGGTCCATTCTTGGTTGCTTCTGCTTAGGAACCCATATTATGGCAACCCGTGGCCAGTGTTGTGACTTGCCTGCTAAAAGAGTTCATCCAAGGCTGGTTGTAAGTCTCATGGCTTTTTGAAGGAGCTCCTGAAGTGCCATCTGTGACTTGTACCATGTGGGCTCCCAAGAGCTTCCTGACTCAGTTTTCCCCCTACCCTTCCATTGTGGCTATTTTGTCCCAAACAAGTGATCTGTCCCACCCCAAGCATTGTTGTTGGCATGATATGCTGCCAGTCAGAGGATGCATGAAAGAGGGTTAAGAAGAAGAAGAATTAACATGTCCTGGGTCCTGTCTATAGCTCAGACACGTTCTTGGCTTGAACTAAGTGCTACTCATTTGAGAAACGCATTTTAATTCTCACAACCCCCTCTCAGCTAGGTGCTAAAGCAGCAATTGATAGAACTTGGTTTGAACTCAACTGTCAAAACCTGGATCCCATGTTTTTAACATCCAATGCTAATTTGCTTGTCCCACTCAAGGCAAAAGGCCTGGGTCTAGAAGAAGAAATCAGTGATTATGATGTTTGAGCCCTAGTGGGTTCGAAAGCTGGGGCTTGGGGCCTTGGATGTGGGGTAAGGGAGGCTGTCTTCCATTCAGTGTGTTTTGTTGACATCTGTTATGTTCATCTAGGTTCAAAAGTGAAGGTCAAAGAGCCACAGAAATTCCACATTTGGGACAACGATCACAAAGTGTTGGTCCTGGACTCTGGGCTCAGAGCAATCCTATGAAAAGCTACTCCCAGGTGACTCTCACTCTTGGTAGGACAATAAGGCCTTCCTTTACAGGGGCTCAGCTCTCTGCTGCACTACATCTTTAGCACCAGCAGGTGGCAGCAGTGGGGAGGGGAGAGGACCCAAGGCCCCTCAGGAATCTGTTGAGGGGGAGTCAGTCCCAATGACCAGATCTCCGGGGAAACATTCAGGAAGGGCTGTAGTAAAGAAGAAGCCAGACACCTGTGAAAAAGGAGGCTTAGACTAGCATGACAGAGTGGGGCTTTGATCCCAGAACCAATGGGAAGGTTATGTGTCAGGCTGAAAACCATAGCAGAGAAGGGGGACTTCTTCCTGCTCTGAGAACTGACCCTTTTTCTGTTTTGTTTTTTTTCCCGGAGACTTTCTTTGTATTAGCCTCACACTTAGAATCAGCCACTGTGGATAAAGGAAATCCAATTTTCTTGGCTGCCTCTAAAGGGGAGTTCTGCCTCCATTGTGACAAGGACAAAGGAAAAAGCCAGCTGTCCCTTCAGCTGAAGGTAAGCATTCTAGCCCAATTTCCTATATACTAGGCTACCCCAAAGTTGAGGGCCAATGTCCTCAATACTTCTTGTTCTCCCTGAAACTTCTTTTATTGATCAATATAACAGAAGCATCCACATTTTTGGAAGTTCTAGGCAGAATTTACTGCCCTCAAGTCTGGTTTGGTGCTGATTCTAGGGAAGGAGGTGGGACTTCACATTCTGGGGAGCTAAGAGGAGGAGCCCAGTAGTGCAAGCAAGCCATTGCTGTCCCCAACTTGCCCTGGTTGGTCTGAGCTTTCCTGCTGCAGCCCTCTCTGTGGCTGGCAGCACACTTGAGTCAGGACCCCTTGTGCCATACAAGGATGGAGGATGTGAGGCAGCCATGGGTAGGCAGTGTGTCCTTTCTGCAAACTTAGTCCAAAGTGGGGCATCCTTTCACATGAGGGGAAAACTCTTAGGGAGTCTTTTTTCGGAGGGTGGGTGAGTGGGATGATACTGAGGTTTGAACTAAGGGTTTTGTGCTTTGCTAGGTAGATGTTCTACAACTTGAGTCATATCTGCTGTGCTTTTCACTGTGGTTATTTCAGAGATAGGGTCTTGCTTTTTGTCCAGGCTTGCCTGGACCTTCATTGTCCTCCTATTTTATGCTTCCCACCATTGCTAGGATGACAGGCAAGTGCCACCATGTCCAGCAGCTTTTTTTTCTTTGAGAAAACTTTTTTTGCCCAGTCTGGCCTGGAATTGCGACCCTCCTGATCTCCATCTCTCAAGTAGTTAGGACCATAGGCATGAGCCACTGGTACCTACCTGCAATTTATTCTTAATTATGGGGATGGGGCATGGAAGAAAAGGTGTGATTACTACTTATCACCTCTTCAAATACCAGTATCATGGCTGACACCCCAGCTTCTCCAAGGGCTCTTGATCTTTTCCTTCCCTCTGTAGCAAGAACATGCTTGTTAAGTTTTATCCCTCTCTAAGCCTCTTCTATCTAATTGGCCTCTCCTAACGCACGGAAGAAGAAACTTATGAGTTTGGCTTGCCAGAAGGAGGCAGCATGGAAACACTTCATCTTTTTCAAGGCTGATGTGGGCTCCTAGCACACCATGGAGTCAGTTGCCCAACCTGGATGGATTGTCTGTACCTCCTGCAATTCTGGTGAACCTGTCGGAGTGACAAAGTTGGAAAAAAGGAACACACTGAGTTTTCATTTAAGAAGGTTTGCAAACTTTAAATGAACGAGAAAGGCAGCAATTAGGAAACTGCCCCATCAAACACCTCCCTCTACATCTTCTCTAACCTGCACCATTCACAGCATACCATGAAATTTGCTCACTAACTTCTGTGTCTGTGAGTTTTACTTCTTATTCATACTTTAAGGATTTGCATTTTTAGATTATAGCAAGAAGGGTTGCTTAATTATGGAGTTCTTATTTAGAAGTAAATAAAGTTCTAGGCTGAAACAAGCCTAGCTTCTATATCTTTTCTGCTTCTCTGAACTATGTTTGAACTAGTACATGATTTGACCAGGTCCAGTCTGATACTTGTATTAGGAATGACTAAAAGCTGGGCACATGCTGTGCTCTAGAATTAGTCATTCCTTCTAGGTTTGGCAGGCACTGTGGGAATTGGCTCTGAGGCAGATGTGCACAGAAATGGCTGAGTTTGTGTTTAGGACTCAAGTGTGCCAAGAAGAAAAGGAGCAGTAAGTCACTATCCAATCAAGTGATAAGTGGAAAAAAGGAATGGCAAGAGAAAAAAGAAGTAGGGGGAGAATGGTGGGTGCCAGACAAGAAATAGAGTGATCTAACGTGGGGGGTGGCACAAAGACAAGACAGCTGGATTGAGGGACAGCTGGGAGACCAGATGAGTAGCCAGTCAGCATCTGGCAGGCCCCTCAACAAGAGCAGGGTTATAACACTAAGCAGGGCTCAGACCTTATGAAAGGTGGTAGAGAGCTGGCAGAACAATAACTCAGGGCCTGGAAACAGAGTGAGGGGCAGAGTAGGAAGATTGGTTATAATTAATTACTTCATTTTGGCTCTTCAGTTGCAAATGATAAAAGTTTCTTCTGGGTTACATAAGCAAAAAGTATACTGAAACAAAAAAGAGCTTATTAGAAGGATTTTGGGCATACTCATTATACCATTGCTGTAATTTGCTGTAACAAATTACCACCAACTCATTGGTTTAAAACAATACAATGTGTTACCTTATGGCTCTAGAATTTAGTATAGAATAGATTTCACTAGGCAAAAATCAAGAAAGCTTTCTCTCTCTCTCTCTCTCTCTCTCTCTCTCTATATATATATATATATAATATATATATAACTAACATATATATATGTTATATTACTCAGCCACAAAGAAAAGTGAAATTATGTCATTTGTAGGAAAATGGATGGAATTGGAGATCATGATACTGAGTGAGATAAGCCAAGCTCAAAAGGTCAAATATCATTCATTCTCACTTATTTGTGGAACCTAGACCTAAATTACTATGATGATGATGACAATGATGGGACATGAAATATACAGAAGACTGACTGGGGTGGGGACAAGGGGAAAAGGGAGGGGGAAAAGAAAGGAGGGGTGAAGAGGATGAAAGTATACTACATGTATACATATGAAGATAGTATAATGAAACTCACCAAACACTGTTTGAAAAAGGAGGAATGAGGGATAAGGGGATGGGAATATCATGGAGGGGGTGAACTTGTTCAGCATACATGGAATTACCACCATGAAATTTCCTCCTATTATTAATGTATGATATTTCAAAAATAAAATTTAAAAAATTAATCTAAAAGGAAGTATCTTTTTACCTTCTCCAGGACCAGAATGGAATGGGTGCTGATTCAAACTGAAATTAGAGCAGAGATCTTTTTTTTTTTTCATTTTTCTTTTATTATTCATATGTGCATACAAGGCTTGGTTCATTTCTCCCCCCTGCCCCCACCCCCTCCCTTACCACCCACTCCACCCCCTCCCTCTCCCCCCCTCAATACCCAGTAGAAACTATTTTGCCCTTATCTCTAATTTTGTTGAAGAGCGAGTATAAGCAATAATAGGAAGGAACAAGGGTTTTTGCTGGTTGAGATAAGGATAGCTATACAGGGCATTGACTCACATTGATTTCCTGTGCGTGGGTGTTACCTTCTAGGTTAATTCTTTTTGATCTAACCTTTTCTCTAGTACCTATTCCCCTTTTCCTATTGGCCTCAGTTGCTTTAAGGTATCTGCTTTAGTTTCTCTAGAGCAGAGATCTTAACTTGGGGTCCACTGAAGGGTCTTCAATGGTATTCTGTGAATTTAAATAGGAAAAGATTACATTTTAATTTTCTGTAAAATTGAATCGAAATGTACTGTTTTCTCCAGTTATTGAAGGAAGACAACAAACTATAATAGTATTTATAGTATATTTGACTATTACCAATAAAAAAATCACAGATATGTTTATTTCACATTGTAGTTATCACAGATATTTTAATCATTGTTCATGTTCATCACTATTTTGAAATGACAGAAGTTATTAGGCCCTTTGATAAATCTGGCTGTTTGATGTATTAATAAAGAAGCACACATATTCTTACGCCACATTTAGAAAAGAAAGAAGAATGGCTTATCCCTCTCAATTTGGACTTCAAGATGCAAATTACTTAACATCCACAATCGTACTTTAACAATTCTATTTTTAAGTAGCTTCTTAGTCCTTTATGTTTTCTCACTTATACTTACCATTATACTCACCCAACACAAATGCTATGAATACTCAAGAAATAGAAACACTATGAACAATTTTACCAGCTATTACTTTAATCCTAATCAATCTTTCATCCGTATGCATCTTATACATAATATATGAAATCAATAACCCCTCATTGACTGTAAAAACTACAGACTACCAGTATACCGAAGTTATAAGCATACAGATTATGAAGATTTAACATTTTACTCTTACATACTCCCTACATTGGCTATTAAATCAGGGGAACTATGACTACTTAAAGTCAACAATCTGGCAAATTTATATGTAGAAATACTTGTCCATATATTAATTTCACCTGAAGATGTATTCCATGTATGAACTGAACCATCTCTAGGCTTAAAAACTGATGCTACTCCAGGATGTCTTAACCAAGTTACCTTAACATCAGTATGGCCAGAACTACATTATGGTCAATGTTCTGAAATCTGTGGATTTGATGATAGCCTTGTACCAATTGTTCTAGAATTAGTTCCACTTAAACACTTTGAAAATTGATGAATGACTATGATATAGATATCACTAAGAAGTTACTGCAGCATTAACCTTTTAAGTTGAAAAATGAGAATAAACTTCTTCCATAATGAAATACCATGTACATGATTTATTACTACTTGATCAATAATCCTTGCATTATTTATTCTATTTCAACTAAAAGCAAAAATATTTAATTATCCTATAAATCCATTTCCTAAAAATATTGAGTCACTAAAATAAGAAAGTCCTTGAGAAAAAAAGTGAACAAAAATCTACTTGCCCTTTTTACTACCCCCACAATAATAGGATTAACTGTCATCATTTTAATTGTGATGTTCTCTCTTCCCTGCTCCTCGCAACTGACAATCAACTAGTCTCTTCTCAACACTGATTAGTCAAATTTGTGCTTATATATATCACAATAATATATAACATTAAAGGACACACATGATCAGTAATATCAATCTTTCTAATCATTTCCATTGGCTCCACCAATCTACTAAGCCTACTATTCATTTACCTTCCTCTTCCACCCAACTATCAATAAATGTTGGCATAACCATCCATTATGAGCTACAGCTGTGATTATAGTGTTTTAATGTAAAATTAAACAATCTTTAGTTCATTTTCTTCCACAAGGCACAATAGTTCAATGAAACACTATACTAATTATTATTGCAAATATCAGTCAATTCATTCAACCAATGGTTCTAGCCTTGTGCTGAGTGATAGGCCTGAGTAGTAGTCATATGAGTTTTTAAAAAAATATTCATGGTATTAAATTCCTGGTCATTTGTATATTGTAACCCTGGTTATCTCAGCTAGTCACTGACATTTCTAGGAGTTTTTGATTTATACCAGAAGCCAAATAGTATATAACATATATATGGTTTACCTGATTACTAAGCAAGTTGATGGAATGTTTTGGAATATTTTTGACCTTGGGATGGAAAAGCTAGAAAGTCTCTGGTGCATGAAAAAAGCTTATTTTGGATGCTCTGTCATTTCCTGGCAGTGAGATCTTGGCCTTTCTGAGTCTTTGCTTAGATCTAACCCAGGTGTTGTACAAAGAAGTGAGACTGTTAAACTCTGAAGAGTAGCCAGATAGTTCATGGCTCTATCACATTGAAATAACTTAAGACCATGGATATTAAAGTGAGTTTTAACAAATGCATACACCTGGAGGATTTGCCATAATGAGGGGACGAGAAGCAGCTTGTGGTCTGTGTCTGCAGTGAGGGCTCAAAGAGAACCAGAGGGGCAGTTTAGGGCAGACCCAAGCGGAGGGTTTTGAGAAAGAACTGCTGATGTGCTATGAGTCCTACCCATCAACACCATCATCTCCCCAAGAGAGAGTGTGGGGGACCCAAGCTACTGAGAGGAACCTTAGACAGCTTGATGGTTGTGCAGTGTGGTAGGGCCCACTGGATTGGAATATGACTCCTCCATGGAGAGGTGACGGGTGAGAGAGGATGACTACAGCTGTCAATGAGAAGACAGGTGTGTGGCCTGTTTGAATCACTAAAGGCAAAGGGTGCCTGAGTGTGTGTGTGGCTCAGAAGTGGGTCTGGATGAGAGGGCAGGTAGGCATCTGTACAATTGCTTCCCAGGAGGGCTGCCTGAAAGGTCAAATAGGCCTCAATCCACAGAACCCAAATGATGCCAAGCACTTATGGGGTGTGAGAAAAGGACAAACACAGAGGTGGAATGCCCATGTCAAGGGAGCTGTGAATGGGTGATGCTCATTGATGACAGGCCACAGAAAGACCTACAGATGCTCACTGTAGACAGGCAGCACAGATGAGCACAGAAGAATACAGAACAAGTAGGAGCTGTGCTGTCTCCACCAATACCAGAAATTACAGGCCAAACATTAGTGGGGAAAGAGGAGCTTGAAAAGAAGTAAGCTGTGCCAGATTTTGACCAATTTGCCCCACCGTAGATGCCATTGCCAATCTTCCCTTAAATATGATTTTGGACAAAGTAGGTTT